GTGAAACGCAGGCCGTGTGTTTGCGAACGCTCCAGATACGGCTTGCGTGATCGGCATGAAGAAGAAAGTGATGTCGTTCAGTCCCGTCACCGAACTCAAAGCGCACACCGAGTTTGAGTAAGAGTCACGTGACTAAATATATCTCACCTCATGAATAATGAACGTCATCCGGGAGCAAGGGTAAATAAAAAACTGGGGCCGGTTGCATAAACTGTTTAGACTAGTCTTAAAAAGTTAGTCATCTAATTTAAAAGGGTAATTTTAGTCTTCTAAAAGAGTAATATTTGAGGTCAGAGATGTGTGAACGGTGAAGAAGAGAGAGAGAGAGGGCAAACATTTAGCATTTTAGCTCAGCATTGCCGTCTAATCAGCCAATATTGTCTTAAATAACCTGCATAGCACTTCATCTTTTATAACATGGGATTTAGACCAAATATATTCAATCTTGATTTTGTAAAATGTTGCAACAAGATGTTAAAAACGTTTTTTTTTGTGTGTGAAAAATTAGTTTTTTTGGACATATGTGACCCTGCAGCACAAAAGCAGTCTTAAGTCGCTGGGGTATATTTGTAGCAATAACCAACAATACATTGTATGGGTCAAAATTATCCATTTTTCTTTTATGCCAAAAATCAATAGAATATTAAGTAAAGATCATGTTGCATGAAGATATTTTGTACATTTCCTACCGTTAATATATCTAAAATAAATTTTTGATTAGTAATATGCATTGCTAAGAACTTCATTTGGACAACTTTAAAGAAGATTTTATCAATATTTAGATTTTTTTGCACCCTCAGATTCCAGATTTTCAAATATTGTCCTATCCTAACAAACCATACATCAATGGAAAGCTATTTATTCAGCTTTCAGATGATGCATAAATCTCAATTTCAAAAAATTGACCCTTATGACTGGTTTTGTGCTCCAGGGTCACATATAAGGTAATAAAAAAAAAAAAAAGCTTAAAGTAACTACAAAACAGCATGTAAAGCATGCGTTTTTCTGCGTGTGTCTCTGTGTGTGTGTGTGTGCGTGTGTGTGCGTGTGTGTGCGTGTGTGTGCGTGTGTGTGCGTGTGTGTGCGTGTGTGTGCGTGTGTGTGCGTGTGTGTGCGTGTGTGTGCGTGTGTGTGCGTGTGTGTGCGTGTGTGTGTGTGTGAGAGTGTGTGTGTGTCTGTGTGTGTGTGTGTGTGTGCGTGTGTGTGCGTGTGTGTGTGCGTATGTGTGCGTGTGTGTCTGCGTGTGTGTGTGCGTGTGTGTCTGCGTGTTTGTGTCTGTGTTTGTGTGTGTCTGTGTCTGTGCGTTTTTCTGCGTGTGTGCGCGTGTGTCTGCGTGTGTCTGTGTGCGTGTGCGCTTGTGTGTGTGTGTGTGTGTTTCTGCAGACACCGGATGCCGCAGGAGCAGTGGTGGCTCAATCTGCGGCCCATGCTCAAGATGTTGGCCAAATATCAGACCAGTTTTGACGAGTATGTGACCGGAGAGATCGAACATGTGACGCGCCGCACACTGAGCATGGAGACCGGATTCTGAACGGCTGCTCACTCCCTTCATCCTCATCATCATGCCACATTAACCCTGCATACCTCTGAGCCAATAAATCCCATCATACTCATAACTGCATTTATATGCTGCATAGAACACGTTATTAACAGATCATCAGTGTTTATGAACTACATTCATCTTGAAATGTTAAAGAACAGATGTTGTGCTCGTGCTTCAGCCCGTCTGCTGTGCCTTTGTCTTGTGTTTATTAGTTTTTAACAACTGGCCTGTTATAATATTTGCTTCTTTATATTTCGACGGTTGTGCACGTTTGACGCAGCTGGATGGAGTTTGAGTTTGTGTAAAAGATGAAATAGTGAAATGTGTTTCTGAATGATCTTGGAGTTGATTTTCTGGTTTTTGGACAATCTTTTCATCTTTCTGTTGTGCAGACTGTTTTTTGGCTATTTGTGTATTATAATCTTTTCTGTCATTATTTAGCTGTTGTTTCCTTATTCCAGAATCATTGATTTGTTTGAGTGTCTGCCGTTGAATTATTACTGAATTGTGACTGAATTATTGTGCTCTTCTCAGTATTCTCTGACCTGTAGAAATGCTGCCAATTTTTACCCTCATATCATGTTTACAGATGAATATGTTAGATTTGCATGTCTCAACTTTTTAAGATGTGCTTTAGTGATTAAACCTGACCAAATAAATATAGATATTTTCTGCTGATTAACAAAAACATTGTGTGGTGTGGTGTGTGTGTGTACTATATTGTTTTATTTTTAAGTGTAACCCATGATTTTACTGTAGCAGCATAAATTCCTAAGAGACAACATATTAACAAATTATTTTTTTAAATATTTAATAATGTATATTTGATTACAAGTGTAATAATCTAAATAATACTTTTAATATAACATGTAATTAAAAAAATCTAAATAAAACTAAGTATTACAATATATATTAATCTATAATTAATTTACACACCTTAGAACGTTCGTCAGCCAATCAGATTCAAGCATTTAACTGCGCCGAGGAAGAATGCGTTGCTGACGTCACGTCCACAGCTGGAAAGTGTCGCGTTTTTGTGAGGAGTATTTTGTCATGTAAAACCATTTTTCTTTATGCAAAATGTATGTGAAATGGCCATAAACAAGTTTTTCCATTATATACAATGTATCTATAAACTATCTAATTTGCATATTAAAATTAACAAATAAGTGCAATACTGAGAGTAATAATTAAAAGATTTTCATAATATCTAATATTTAATAGGAATATTGATACATAATTTTTTCTCTATTCATTTGTTGTGTCTCCCAAAATGTGTAATAAACATGCTTTAAGTCCTGGGGCAAGTTCAAGCTCAAATCGGTGCGCAACGTTTTGCTACGGTTTCCGGTTTGAACGACATGTTTCCTGGAAACCGTGTGCAACAGGGTTTGAGATGCGTTTCTCTTGTTTGGTGGGTGTGTCAAAAATGTCAGCCCAATCAGCAGCAGCATGTATATAAACAACGTGGTATTAAAGAGACAGCTCGCACAATGTAATTAACATCCAAATTCATTTTCCTGAGGTAAGGGTCTGAAATCTGAAGATTTTCTCCATCCATGAGGCGAATTATAAACTAATAATACATTTATTGACTCTTTCCACAAATAAATCTTATCTAGCATGATAACTGATGCTTAAATAATTTAAGGTGTTCAAGATTAGAACTGTAAAAAAAAAAAAATAGAACTATTTCCTCTGAGCATGCGCAGAAACTTGCTTCGCTGTGTCTGGTTTGATACTCGTGTTCAAACTCCTCCTCTGACTGTAAACTCAAATCTCTCTAGTTAAACACACATTCATGAGAAAGTGAAAGTGAAGGTAAAACAGACAAAGGAGAGGAGAAAACTCACGGACACAGCTTGAGTATGCAACATTTATTTTGCTCTTGAATATGTAGAGTTTCATTAAACTCAAGTGTGTGTTTATTACAGTTTTTTTCGATTGCTAAATGACAGTGGGCACAACTGGAGCTACATGTGCAAAACTCTAACTACAGTCTGCACAGCAGCAGTTCATGTGGACCAAACTCTAGTTCGTTTTTCATTGCTTGAACACAGTTTTCAAAACTCTACACACTTATCCCATGACTTTACCCACAACCTGCACAACACTGTGGATTTACAGCACTTTGTTCAAATGCTAACACACTGCTGTCAAAACTGTGAACCACACATTCAAAACAGAATAGATTTCAGCCTTGTGCCTTTCAAACACTGCTGATTGCAATTTCAGCTGAAAGGCTAAGCAGGTGTCTTGTTTTAGACTTGTTAGTGAACACACACACATATATATATATAAGCAAACTGCTAATTTTCATTTACCTTAAAGAATTATGTTCTACAAATTTAAATAAATCATGTGAAAGAATGTCACTCTTTTCTTTGAAGAAAATAGGACTTTGTATGAAGTCACTGAAATTGTTCAAACTGTAAAGATGAAAAGTTTGTATTTTCTGTATTGGTGTTTGATGCTAGTGTTTTTACTCTCAGTGTGTTCTGAGTGACAGTGTGTGTTATCTCAGTGAGGGTTGTGCATAGTGTTTGGCTGCACTGAGCCTGTTTTGAGCCATGTGTTAAGAGTTGTGTTGCTTGGAATGAGTTTTGCAGGTGATTTGAACTGTTTAGCTCAGGTGACTGTTGGTAGTGCAGACTGTAGTTAGAGTTTTGCACATGTAGCTCCAGTTGTGCCCACTGTCATTTAGCAATCGAAAAAAACTGTAATGAACTACAACATTTCCAGCGGTGTGAATCAATCCTGCGGCTTGAGATTCCTTCCTTTAACAACTTTAAAACAAACCTGTGACATCTAATAAACGCCAGACTGAAACCAAATAAACGTGTTGTTAAATCCATTTAAAAGTCAATTTCTGGCTCTGTTTTTATCAGACAGGTTCCTGTTTTTCTGGCAGCTTCCTGACAAGTGAAAGGTGAACATTGTGCTCAGTCTACAGGATTCACGCTTAAAGATGTGACAAATATGACAAAATAAAAGATTTGAATGGTTGATAACAGTAAAGTGTCTTTTTTCCACACTAACCTGAGTTTACAGTTTCTTTCTTACAGTAACACTGAACAGAACAAGTGTAAACTTGTTTATAGCAGTTTATATTGTTGTACAAATGTCAGAACCAAAAGATTTGGCTCCATTTCAATTTATGAATTCTAATTGGCCACAACACACATGAAGTGGAATTTATTTACTGTACTGTACTATTTATCAGCAAATGCAATCTGGGAATTAAATTGTTCTTTCACATTTGACAACACATTAAATATAAACAAGTATATGTAAAGTAAGCACAGCATTCTGATGACAAACCGAAACAGACGACATTTTTAAAACAGGTCTGTCTGTCAGGACTTGTTTAAACTCTTCTGTAGACTTTCAACAAGTGTTTTTCATTTGCAGCAAACAGGCCTTTTTCTGCCTGTTCTTGTGTGTTCAGTATGGCTACAGTAGGAGTGGATGTGATTGAAATAGCAGCTCTAGGGAGATCCTTCCAGCTGGGGATGCTGTACGACTGCAGGAAAGATGCTCTCATACCAGGTACCATACCATAATGCAAACTTTCATCTCACCCTGATTTGCTGAAGACTCCCAAAATGTGAAAACTGAACTGTGTGTGTGTGGTGAAAGAGTGGATGAACTGTGTGTGATGGGATGGATCTAGGCCAGAGAAAAGGGTTTCTCATTAGATTTGTCTCTCTCATAATATTGTGATAATCCTTACAGGGTCAAAAGTCACCACCAATCTGTCTGTTTGCCTGAGGGTGTGTGTGTGAGAGAGTGTGTGTGTGTGTGTGTGCGTCTGTGTGTGTCTTTAAATGCTTGATGTTGCAAACTACTATTTCATATAATATATTTTAAAATTAATACTGTAATCAAACACACAGGTTTGTAGTGCAAACAGTTTTACAGTTTACCTCACTTTGTATTCTTCTTGTTATTTACCTATAGCGCTATCACAATTGAGTCTCACACAATCACAGAAATCAGTATGTCTTGCAGCTAAAACATTCACAGATATTATATATAAATATATATACACTGTAAAAAATGAATGTCATTTTAACCATAAAATATTGTAAAAACACTACGGGAAATAAAATGTTAATAGATTAACAGTAAACAGGGAAAAACTGTAAAAGATCTAAACAGACATTTCATGTAATTTTACAGTAAAATGCTGTTAATTGTACAGATTTTAGAAGTAAAAAAGAACAAATCAATGTATAATTTACTGTCAAAATCTGTAAACTGACATTCCCAGAATTCTCTGCGTGACGCTCCACATTTGAAAGTATTTTATTTAAATAATCATGTTTCTTAATAGTTTTTGTTATCAGTTATATACGTTAGGGTTTTATGTTACATCTTCTGTTGTTTAATGAATGTTCATTGCTTTATTTAAAAGTTGTGTGTTACCATGATGGTGTTTTGTGTTTCTGGGAATGACTCTCTATATTAGTATATACTTCAGCTTGTGGAAAAGCTACTTGTGATGAACTTTGATTGTTCATGTGGCTCAAGATTCCCCGATTCGCTCGGTGCATCGGCATAAAAAGTTAACGATGCGATGCATCAGTTTAAAAAGTGTGCATCGGATACAATTTGGCATTTGTATCATGATGCATAGTTTCTAACATAATTGCATCGGTAAAACCGATTTATGTACATATAATTATTAGTAGATGCGGTATACAATTTTATTATTTAGAAAGTGACCAATAATTTGTGACCAATATTTTCTATACGTAGATTGATTTCTCTAAACTTGCATTGATTTCTCTAAACTTGCATCCGGCTTCGCTACCGTTTGGACGTTCTTGCTTACTGCTCTGCGCTTTGCTCCCTATTTCTGTACTTTTCTTTGATTTTTCTAAGATTTTTACTTCAGCAGATCAGCACAGTGCTCAAACAACATATTTTTGGCACAAACACTAAAACAAAAAACTCTCTGGGACTGGAATAATACCACGAAAAAGAAGACTTTTGCCTCCCACTGCCAGCAGCTTACATTCCGGAGAAGGGCAAACACAGCTGCCCACATTCAAACAGAAGAGAAGGAAAATGCCTCCTGTTGAATCTACTTGCTGCATGAACTACTGCAAACTTCTACAAAGGATTGCGGTTCCTGAAACAAAGTTACTTGCTATTTCTCAAGCGCGTTCTCTCAGCGCCACTGCTGCTACGTGAATATGTATGACGTATCACAACACTACAGAGACCGAGGCGTGTCAAGCCTTGCCAGTAAACATTTTATTCACGTTCTGTTCTGACATGCGCATTTTGAGCGTGCACACCTGAAGCGCGCGCACATTAAAAAGGCTGTCAAACAGCGCCTTGTTACTGGACTAAGTTATCTTTCACGCCTGCTTGCTCGAATACTGTCAAAAACACATAAGGTTTACATATAAACAGTTAGTTATGTATGGCGTTATTTTAATGACAAATGTCGAGAGCGCATTATTGTAGCACGAAAGCACATAAATATAATGCGCGAGTGCGAATCTCTCCACTCGCACGCGGATTTCCTTTGCTCTCGCACAAAACCGGACTTAAAATGTGTCTCTCCTCTAGCTCAAAGTGTGCGCGCTCAAACTGTGTCCTGTGCACTCGCAAATCTCTCTATGCTCATGCGCTAGAATAGATATGAATTATTTTCGCACCCGAATTAAACGTTGTCAAAAGTTATCAACCGATCAGATTTCAAAGATGGATCTGTAATTTCTTTACAATTTAATACTACTTAGTCAGTAATAATCAAACATTAGAAATCAATCGGGTGCTTGGATGATTTGGAAATAACCTAGTTTAACAGTTTGGTCAAACCTCTCTGAACGATTTATCTGGTCATATATGTATTGTGTACTTGGATTGATATATATATATATTCCCTAAACCGATAATTAAGATTTGGAGACCAAATATAACACTATAATGAATTTCTCATATTTGTCATACACTATATTATATTCTATGGGTTTAATGCATTTACAGACAATGTAATTACATGTAACTGTCATATAACTGTATATTCACTGTTTTAGAAGAGAGCGCCATTGAATGTGTAGCTAATATGAAGTGGGTTTTCATGAAAAAAAAATCTTAACTAAAATCAGAACTGAAAACAAACACTGGATTGAAAGAAAAAACTCCCAATAAATGTCCAAACAGCGATGCTATCAGAACATTCTTATTGTCATCATACCAACTGAGAATTTATTGCAATAATTTTAACTTCAGTTGAGGTATCTGACATATGATGACATAACATTGATCTTTTATATGAAGTCTTTAGAGCCATAGACTATAATACGTTGTTTTTATAAATATATGTTGATAAATTGCTCGGAGACCAACCAGGACAGAGGTTATATGTACAAATCATCCAAGCACCCAATTCCTAGCCATTTCTAATATAGGCTACATTTCATTAACATTGCTAAATATTATTAAACTGGAAAGAAATTAAAGATCCATCTTTGATTGTCAAAAGAATTCCGGGTTCACTTCCCTCTCAGCCGATTAGATTTCACGCATTTTCATTGGTCAGTTGTGGAGGTCTGATTGGTTAAAGCTTTATTTATATAGCACCTTTTAAAACAGTGTTTACAAAGTACTTTACAGAGAGATGCATATGTGCATTCACAGAAAACAACAAAATACAGACACAAAAGAGATAAAGTGGGCCTAGTAAAACAAAGTACAATAACCAGTTTATACATAGTTTAAATACAACAATAAAAAAATCAAATAAAGGCCCTGAACAAATCTGTTTTGAGACTACTTTTTAAAAGTGCATAATAAATTTTGACAACATTTAATTCAGGTGTGAAAATAATTAATATCTGCATGAGCACAGAGAGATTTGCGAGGAGAGACACGTTTTAAGTGCGCGCACTCTCTCCGGGCGAGAGCAGCGTGCGTCCGGGTTTGTGCGAGAGCAAAGGAAATCCGCGTGCAAGTGGAGAGATTCGCGCTCACGCATTATATTTATGTGCTTTCGCGCTACAATAATGGGCTCTCGACATTTGTCATTAAAATAACGCCATACATGTACCCCCTGGCTGCCCCAACATCGAGAGTAATGAAAGCGGAAGAATTAGCAGATTGGGTCCTGGCAGTAAAAGATGCCTTCCATGACTTTGCAAGCTCCTCATGATACCAATTATTAAGCTGCGAACACTCAGGACAGGGCAGAGGATTCCACTCTAGGCCAGTGTTCCCGGCAGCATGGCAGCCAACTTATAATCGGCCTCAGTCTGAGCAACGCGGCCAGATGTTGGGAGCACAGATGAGCCCTCAGTGTCAGCAGGCTTCAAACTCCTTTCCAATGCTGCTATCAACAGTCCATCTTCTTTACGAACCCTGAATGAGAAATTAATCATACTTAGGTGAGCAAACAGACTCATCCATGAATTTGACAAGGAAAAACTAGTGTGTGGAGGCATGGGAGGTCCTTGGGGGTCACCCATTGGAAATGCTTCAAATGAAGCCCCCAGATCGCCCTCAGTGAATAACAAATCTGAATGAGTAGAGCATCTCCTTTTATACCCAGGGGAGTGGCTGGAATGCAAATTTCACTCACCAATTCACATTGGCCTTTTATGAACTATCAGAGGTGTTTGGGGCTCCCAAGTGTGACTCCTAGTGTCACTACATCAACACAACGTCGAGTGAGTGAGTGACAGATAGGGAACATCAATACGTTTGAATAAAGGACGAAGATAGAATTTTCTACATCACTTTTGGCCACAATTGCATACTATTACACAAGTGGCAAAAAGTGTGTGGATCATGTGTGCCTCAGTGTCTTTACTGCTACTTAGTTTCTGTCGCATTGCTGCTCATTTGTATATATGAAAAACCGCATCACACCATCAACAGTCACTGATGCTCATCTGATTGCTTCATCACTAAATCACTGTATGCCTGAATGGACCTAAAGTGTAATCAATCACAATTCTTCCCTCTTTTTTTGCAGGAATCACACTGTGGGATCCGGAAAAGCTCCAGCAGAGTTTACGAACCCATCCCCAAATTAACACAGATTTCAAAGTCACGGCTTCAGACTCCATTGAGGACAAATCAACCTTACTGAACATCGACGACTCTCTGAAACTGAGTCTTTTAGGTGGACTGGTCAATGTCACAGGAGCAGCCAAATATCTAAATGACACCAAGAAGTCTTTCAGACAGCAGAGACTGACTCTGCATTATCATTCAACCTGCAGGTTTGAAGAACTGACCATGAATCACTTGGCACCTGAAAATATCATTAATCAGGATGTGTTTGATAATGACACAGCGACACACGTGGTGACAGCAGTGCTGTATGGAGCTGACGCCTGCTTCGTGTTTGACAGAGAAGTTTCAAGTCAAGTCAAGTCAAGTCACCTTTATTTATATAGCGCTTTTAACAATACAGATTGTGTCAAATTTCAGCAGATGAGAACAAAAGTACAGTAGAAGGAGAAGCAAAAGTGGCTCTTGAGAAACTCAAATTCATTTCAGTAGATGTGAACGTCAATCTGAAGATGGACGACGCTCAGAAGAATGCAGTCCAGAAATTCACATGCACGTTTTATGGCGATTTCCAGTTACCGTCAAACCCGACCTCTTTTGAAGATGCTCTGAAGGTTTTCACTGATCTTCCAAAACTTCTGGGAGAAAAGAAAGAGCTTGCCATTCCTGTGAGAGTTTGGCTTTATCCTCTGGACAAACTTCACTCAAGAGCTTCACAACTTCAGAAGGACATCGGCATGGATCTAATCATAGCCATAGAATCAGTGATTGAGATTTTAAATACAGCTGAGATGAGATGCAGTGACCTTCTGAAAGACTCACCTGCTCTGACTTTTATTGTATTTCATGATAACATTCTGCAAATGAAGCAAAACTGTTACAAGTACAAACTGAAGCTCATGAAGAGACTCGGCTCTCTGCTGCCAAACATCCGTGGAGACGTAATGAAGGAAACGGCGCTGAATGAACTTCTACAAGAACATGAGGAATCTCCTTTCAGAAGATCTGACCTTGCAGAATGGCTGAAAGAGACAGAAAGAGAGTCTGACGTCATTAAATCAGTCCTCCGACAGCTGAAGGATGCTGGTGCACAAGCAGAAGTCAACATAGATCTGATATTAATGGATCTGGAAGTTGTAAATCTCGTCTGTTTCATGTTCACATCATTGGACTGGACAGATGTGCTGCTGCTTCAACAAAAGGCCTGTTTGAGTCCTTCAGCAAAAGGAAAAAATAATGAGAACCGTCCTGATACAAAGCAAAAGTCTTGGCTCAGTCCTGAGATCCAAAAGACCATGAGGTACAACTTGAAGACATTTAAGAACTTGATCGATTCAAAAGATCGTAAACCAGCCAGGTTCATTGTGTCCTCGAGAGAAATGGAGAATAATCCTGGTTCCTGCATTCTGCTGTATGAAAGTGAATGTGATGAAGATGTTTGCTTTATTCCTCCATCACAGCCTGCCCGTCCAGTCACTGAAGAGGTCAAAGATAAAGGTGTAGTTGTGAAGGTTCCTCCAGCGTGTCCTGCTACAGTGGAGCTCAGATTACTGTATAAACCGAAGCAGGACTCAGTCTGGACCTCTGAACCGGTGATGAAGGATCAACACACAGTTACTCTGACTGATCTGAGAGCAGGAACTGAATACGAGATCAAATGTGCAGCAGTGGGGAAACTCAACTACACCGTATACAGTGACATCACTGAAGTTACCACAGAGGTATGTATGATGATCCTTGAGCAAAAATCAGTTGAGAATGTGTACCTTATCTTGGTTATTTGCAACATGTTAATTTGTATCAAATGGTTCTTTTAGGGAAGGAGCAGTACGAGTACTGGTGAGTCATATATTTTTCCTACCTATAAGTTGTTGCTAAACATGGTTCATTTGAGCATGGAAGTGATATTAAAGTTGTAACATAGTGAAGTGCACGAGAAGGCTCCAAAAATAGTCTTTAATGACAAATCCACACAATAAACAGGAGTCCAACTGAGAGAAACCCAACCATGTAGCATTTACAAGAACAGACAAAGGAACAAATGAAAACATGGGGCTTATATACAAACCGAGTAATCAGGGAGAACAGAAGGCTGCGCTACACTCCACTATATATATACCGCAAATACCAGTTGCTGTATTTGTGCCATCATCCAGCAATTTTATTACGAAGTGGAGAGATTCTCAGACTATAACTCTTCCAGTGTCACGCTTATGTGCTGGAGTGAAGACCGAAGAGCCTACGACAAAGATACTCTTAATTATTTTTAATAAATCCACAGGGAAAGATGACGGGACTATCCACACACATAGGGTAACCACATGCAATAACCGACAAACTCGAACTGAACGGACAGGAACTGAAATAGGGCAGATAACGAGGGGCAGACAGGTGAACACAATGAAGGTGATTAACTAATAATGAGAACAGGAAACAAACCAAATAAGGGCAAACAGGAACTGGACAGACAAGGTGACAAGACTAAAATGAAAACACAACGAAAGAGTTCATATACAGTATCTGTGACATCCAGCTTTGGCTGACATTGTTGCTCGCATTAGACCTTCATGTTATGCCACCACATTTGTTTAAACAGATGTTTGATAGTGCTGGTGCCCCCATTTTAAATGTAATAAACAAATGCCTTAATCAGGGCATTTGTCCAGCAGATTTTAAACATGCTACTGTCACCCCCTTGTTAAAGTGGCCAAATCTTTCAATTGATGATCTAAATAATTTTAGGCCTATCTCAAATCTGCCTTTCTTATCTAAGGTTTTAGAAAAAGTGTTTCTTAAACAACTCCAGGCCCACTTGACTTTAAACTCTGTTGCTGAGGTGTTTCAGTCAGGTTTTAATCACAGTACTGAGACCGTATTGGCGAAAGTATTGAATGACGACATCTTGACTTTGTATAATGGTGAAAATGTCCTTCTGATTCTACTTGACCTCAGCACGGCGTTCGATATGATGAATCACGATATACTGATTGACCTCCTGGAACACTGGATTGGTCTTAAGGGAAATGTGCTTAAGTGGTTTAAATCATATCTTACTGGTAGATCTTTCTCTGTTTTTTTAACAGGGAAAGAAAATTCAACCAGTTTGCCTCTTCCTTGGGGGGGTACCTCAGGGTTCGATTCTTGCACCAATATTATTTTCCCTTTATATGTTACTTTTAGGATCCATTTTTTTGTAAATATAATGTATCCTTCCACTGTTATGTGGACAACACTCAGATTTATCTTCCAGTGAGACATAAACATGATCGATAATTTATTGGCCTGTTTACAGGACATTAAAGCCTGGATGGCTGCAAACGTTTTGAAATTAAATGATGATAAAAGCAAGGTCATTGTGTTTGGCCCTAAAAATCAGGAAGTGGCTCAATGCTTAATCTACCCCTTTTTCTGGTTTAATTACAACTGGTGTAAAGAATTTAGGGTTTGTTTTGGGCTCTTTTTTATAAACGGCTGATTTTGAGAAAGCAATAATGGTGATTTTTTTTTTTTTTTCATGAATGGATTATTGTAATTCTCTCTATTTTGGAACTGACAACAGAACATTGGCGTGTCTTCAAAGAGTACAAAATGCTGCTACCAGGATGCTCAAGTCTGCCAAGAAATTTGAGTCAGTTACACCGCTTTTAAAATCGCTCAAATGGTTGCTGGTGGGAACAATCCAAATTACGAGTTGTCTGGAATGCACCATAACTAAGGCAAATGGATACAGGGAGAAAATAAACCAAAACAGAACAGGACATACTCGTGACAAAAGTGAGACTGTGACCAAAAACAGATGTATTTGTGTGTTGCAGGCATTGACTTTGAAGGAGACGGTCACTCGACTACCTTTACCAGCACTGAGGGTCCTTTGTCTCCAGCAGTTTCTGAATCGTCCCAGTGTATGGGCCTCTTTTTCCTAAAAATGTCATTTTTGAGGGTGTTAACGGTCTTTGCATGATATTAGTTGACAGATTAGGTGTAACGTTGCACAGACAAGTCTCATGTCAATAGAGCTTAAACCAAACTAAAAATAATCTTTTACTCACTGTTCCAAACCTGTATTACTTACTTAATATAGAAAATATCTGAAGAGCATTGGAAATCAATAACATTGGACCCCATTGACATTCAATGCATGTCCAAAAAACACTGAGGCATTTTTCAAAATATCTTTTTGTTTCAAAGAAGAAAGTAAGTCATGCAGGTTTTAATGACATGAGGGTGAGTAAATAAGTCTATTTATTTGCAGATCAAATATAAAAAACGACATTAAATAGAACAGTGTGATAATTGGTTAAAAATATTGGTCAAACTGTCTTCTGTGTCAATCTCACAAAACATGCATTTCCAGGTTCTTGGAGGAGATCACCTGATGACCAAAACAGGCCATTTATACATGATCGGAGCACTAACACCAGAGCACCGGAGTCTCAAAAGCACATGAGCAACACTTCAATCAGTGACTCTGGCATAGGTGAGAATGCAGGGATGCAATAAGTGGGTATGAAACACATGCATTTGTTGTACTTTTGAAAATATAGAGGAAGCATTAACCTTTATGTGGCTCAAAAATCATTTTAATATCCCATTATTCCAAAAGAACATCTTTAAATAAAAATGTTAAACCATTGCTTTTAACATTGAAGTGTGCATTAATGAAACCAGTCCTAAATATTAATAGCTCTGACCACCTGTGCACTGTTGAAGACAAACATTCACATGCATTACATTAAAATGAAAACCATATTATACTTAACTTTATATTTTATATCCAATGAACACATTTATAAAAAACCTGTTTGTTGTTTTTGTCTTCTTATGGCCATTTGAAACAGAAGAAGCTTCTACAGGACGAGGTGAAGTGACCAGAAGGTGGGAGAGTCCTGTTATATTTTACAGTTATGTGTAAATATGCTGAAGACAGCCCTGTTTCACCAAATATGGCATGCTTCCTTAATTTGCTATTCAAGTTCATCAAGTTTTATGAAGCTTTTATGATGCACTTAAAATATACAGGTACATTTTGAAAGAGTCAGTGTGTGACAGTCATTCATAGATCAGATGCAGATCACCAAAGAACTATTGATGAGGCAAGAAATAAACACGAGGGATCACGAAAGTTGGTTGATGTTTCCCTTCTCATTGGAAGTGTTACAAATGTTGCTTTTTATGTTTCTTTTTGCCTGATGCCTTTAGAAAATATCAAAATTGAGGTGTGACTTCATTGTATACGTAAAGCATTTAAAAACTGAAAAGTTTTTTTTTAAGTGTGGTTATTGATACTGTTAATAAAATAAATCCAAAAGCTGGTTTAAAGTGAGAAAATGTTTAAATTGAGGAGAATTATTCAAATGTAAGCCTTTTTCAATCTTCTCCTGCAGAAGCCAGAATTTGAATGCATTGAAGAATCCTGATGTTTCCAGCATCAAGGTATTGTTATTGTTCATCAATATGAGCACAAGTGTTTATAGAGATCTGTGTTTGTACATCTCAGTGTTTTAGTAACTGTAGATTAAAGTCTCCTGGATTAAACCTTAAAATAAGATCATTTAGCCTCATAATGTGGAGTTTGTCTTTTTTTATTGGAGCAGCTCAAGCCGTCTGTGATCAACCCAGAGAGCAGCACACAGAGCCAATCGTCAGGTAACCAATAATGACATGATTTAAATCATTAGAGATTGAGGTTGTGTTACAACCCTAAATGAATCATTGCATCACTATTTCATGACACTCATTGTTCCAGTCATCAAGTTTGAACACGTACTCGGGTCATATTAAGGAGTTTTCTAGAAACTAGGAAACAAAAAACACTCACAATTGAACTAGAAGAACTCTTCTGTGTGTAAGATCAGATCAAGTCTCCACGTCAGAAAATATGCATTTTGTCTGGTATTCCAACAGTTTTAGGAAGGGTTGTCTAACACCCAAAACCTGTTAACAGCAAGTCTTGTCTAGTACTGTACTAACAGTCTTCCAATCAGCCAAGACGATGACTGAAAAAAGTCAGAGAAGAGCAGAAGACGAAGCAATGAGCAGAGTTTATTGATTAATCCCAGCTGTGTATGCTTCATGATCAGACTCAAATCCAGCAAGTGTCATTATTATACCACAAGCAATAACAATAGAAAATCACTGCTTCACATCGACCTGTGACGTTAAAAACCTTGAAAACAAGACATTCTCCTATCTCTTACTCATGAAAACAAACCACACAATCATAAGATTATAACAATAAGGAAGAAAGAAACTTAATAACAAAATAGTTATAAAATGACAAATAATTAAATGATGAGTTTTTTTAACTCTGCTCATGTAAACATGATAAAAGCATGTGCTGTGATAGTTGTTGAACTGTGTTTGTGTCTGTAGTATCAGTGTCCTCATCAAAGACGTTTAAACTGAGACTGAAGGAGGAGTTTCAGTATCTGAATGAAACACCTGGAGAAAGACAAAGTCTGAATGATGTCTTCATTGAACAACACATCACAGAGGACCCTGATTCTCACATCAGTAATGATAGACAGATCATGCGCAACGACATGTTTGAAGGCCAGCATATCAGGAGCCTTTTGCTGAAGGGAGATGCCGGCACTGGAAAAACTGTGACTGTGCAGAAGTTCATCCTGGACTGGGCTGAAGAGAAATCAAACACTGATATCGATTATATATTTCCAATACCTTTTCAGAAGCTGAACATTATCAGAGAGACGGTGAAGAAATGTAGCTTCACGGAGATTCTGCAGCATTGCTTCGAAAACACTGAATATCTGAAACTCAAGGACTCTGAGAGGATCATGCTGATCTTTGATGGACTGAATGAGTTTAAACTTCCTCTAGATTTCAAAAACACAAAGAAGATCACTGATGAAAATGAGCCAGGCTCAGTCTCTGGTCTACTGGCAAACGTCATCATGGGAAATCTGCTTCCGAACGCTCAGATCTGGATCACCAGCAGACCAGCAGCAGCCAATCAGATTCCTGATGGATTTATTGATCGCATGACGGAGATCCAGGGCTTTATTGATCCACAGAAGGAGGAATATTTCAGAAAGAGCATTAGTGATCAGAGAATGGCTAATAAAGTCATCAGTCACATCCAGACATCAAGCCGCATCAGCAGCATGTGTTATTTACCAGATTACTGCAGAATCATCGCAGCGATTCCAGAGAAGATGTTCAGTACACGCAGTGATGATTTCCCCAAGACCCTCACTCAGATGTACAGCAGACTCCTGTTAGCTCAGACTGAACTGAATCAGGTGAGTAAAGAGACCGTCACTGCTCTGGGGAGAATAGCGTTTCATCTGCTGGTGAATGGAAACTCTCTCTTCTGTTATGAACACTTAAAGAAATGTGGCATTAGAGACGAAAGTGTTCTGATACGCTCATCAATCATAAAGAAGACTGAAGACCAAAGCAAGCGTAAATTACTCTGTTTTGTGAATCACAGAACACAGGAGTTTCTGGCAGCTTTATATGCGACTGCAGTCATTAATGTGAATAATCCACTCCAGCTCAGAGATCTGTCCAGTCTAGACCTTAACTACTATAACTCCCAGAATGTGATGAAAAACGCTTTAGAAAGACAGATGGATCTTTTCTTCTGCTTTTTAATGGGTTTGTCGCTGGATTCCAGTCAGAGAGCTTTAAAAGACCTCCTGAAACAGAGAGAAAGCAGCTCTTCATCCAGTCAAAAGGCAGTTGAATACATCAAAACAATGCTCATGCAGTTTTCTCCAGAAAATACAGACAAATGCAGTCTCCTGTTTGACGCTTTGAAAGAGCTGGATGAACGATATTTAATCCAGGAAATAAAAACACAGCTGAAATCTGGACTCAAACCCTCTCTTGCTCAGATTTCAGCTCTGGTGAATTTAGAAAAGTAGCTGGATGAGCTTAAGTCACATCGATCAGAGGGTCTGAGGAAGACGAAGGGGAATCAAGGATTGAGTGATTCATACATCACTGATCGGTCACATATCATTTAACAGTGAATTTATAAATAATAACTAGTTGTTTGGCGAGCACATTTTTCTCCCTCTACAGGCTGAAGAAATCCTAATCAACATGATTCCTGGGCCCGTGTTCACAGAACATTTTATCTTACCACTGAGAGATCTCCTAAATAGCATTAAAAGCTTTTAGCTAAGAGTTTTCTCTTAAAGCTGCAGAGACAAACTTGTATTAAGGAATATTGATAAGTCTTAAACTCAGAGTAAGGGGGCGGGGTTTACCTCGTTGCTATGGATGATGTCAGCGTGCTTATTAACTATGCACACAGTGATTGGCTGATAGTCTCTGTCAAGAGATTTATTCATAGAAATATTGTAGAGCATGATATTATGTTGCCTTATTCAAATAAAGATTTTAAAATGCAGGCTAAGTGTCATATGTTCAGCTAATTGTCAGCCTCTTAGATGTGTGCTTCTCGTAAACAATTAGTGAATGTGCATATAAACAGCCTTTTAATTAACAGAGTGGAATAATCATGGCTGATAGTAAGACATGCAAACGTAAAAGAAAACCAAACTGGACTCAAGAACAGCTGTTACTTCTTCCCTAACTGTTTAATGAAAACAAGGATATAATCAAAGGAACATTTAGAGTTGGTATAACCTCCAAAACCAAAGGCGATACCTTTATAAAAGCTCATTATTGTCAAATGTTTCTAAAATTGCCGGAAACAGCAGTTTTAGGATAGTTTGTGGCTTAGGAGTCCTCTTCACTGCTCCTAACCTTTCACAGATTTAGGAGCTAGTTTTAGAGCTAAAACACTTTGTGAAATACTCTTAGAGCAAAAATGTAGGAGTCCTAAATTTAGGACTGACACGCCCATTATTTTTAAGATTTTCTCCTAAATCGACGAGTTATGAGCTACTTATAGCCTTGAGATGTTTTGTGAATACAGGCCCTGATCGTTACTTAATATCCTAATGATTTTTGGCATAAAAGAAAAATGGATAATTTTGACCCATACAATGTATTGTTG